TAGTGCATTACCCTACAGTGCCACACCAGGACTCTCTCTCGATCTCTCTCTCCTCACACACACACATACACACACACACATACATAATATGTATATACATAGCCTTAGTAACTTAGTGGGTTATGTATTAGGCTGCTAATCACAGAGTCAGCAATTAAAGTTCACCAGGTGCTCTGGTGGAGAAAGATGAAGCTTTCTGTTCCCATCTGGATTTATAGCCTCAGAAACACTATACAGGGTTACTATGAGTCAGAATCAATGACATACCACCACCACCACCATACACATATATGTTGTTGTTGTTAAGTGCCATTAAGTCAGTTCCGACTCATAGCAACCATGTACAGGATTTCCGAGAAGCAGCTGGTGAGCTTGAACTGCCGACCTTGTGGTTCAAAGCGACCTTGCAGTCAAGCACATTAACTCACAGCACAACACCAGACTTCCATATACTTACATGTTGTTGCTGTTAAGTGCCGTCGAGTTGGTTCCAAACCATAATGGCCCTGTATAGGACTTCCAAGGAGTAGCTGCTGAACTTGAACTGCTGACCTTAGGGTTCAAGCTGACCTTGCAGTCCAGTGCATGAGCCCACAGCACCACACCAGGACTCCATATACATACGTACATGTTGCTGTTGCTAGGTACCATTGAACTGGTACTGATTCATAGCAACCCTGTGCACAACAGAATGAAACTACACCAACCTCACAATCGTTGCGACATTTGAGCCCATCGCTATTGCCCCTGTGCTAATCCATCTCATGTGGGCTCATCCTCTTTTTCTCCAACCTTCCATTTTACCAAACATGAGATCCTTCTCCAGGGACTTGCCCCTCCTGACAATATGTCTGAAGTGAAGTCTTTGACAACTTCAACTTTTTCTCCATTTATATGGATGTTACTTACTGTTCTAGTGGTGAGGATTTGGGTGGGATTTTTTTTAATGTTTTATTGTGAATTATGTGATACTTTACATGGGAGAACTTTAGCTACATTCATCCTATCGTATATCATTTCACTGCCATGGTTACAATCCCCTTCATGCGTCATCAACCAACCAAAGGGTATACACTATAAGCCTGCCCCCCAGTCGTCAACACAGAGCCCCTCTCCCTCTCTGGGTCTAAAGTCCCCAGCTACTCCATCTCTTCACATCATCATCTCTGCCTCCATCTCAGGCATAACTGCTTCTCTGAGTAGGGTTCTGCTCTCCGCTCTTTCTCCTTGGTGGTCCCAGGGACCTCCGTTCCTAGACTGAAAAGTTAATCACTCCCCTCCTTGCTACAAACATTTACCTTTACATTTCCAACCCTCACAATCAGTCCTGATGACAATTATTCACTACTGTATCACAAGAGACCTATCGCATTTCATTTCATCAGCCCTGCCTAGACAGATTGGATACTACTCAGTGAAGATTCTACCTTCCTCCACGCCCTCTGGATGTTTTTGGGTTTTTTTTTAATGTTGAGATACAACCCATTCTGAAGGCTGTGGTCTTTGATCTTCAACAGTAAGTATTTTAAGTCCTCTTCAATTTCAGCAAGCAATGTTGTATCATCTGCATATCATAGGTTGTTAATGAGTCTTCCTCTAATCCTGATGCCACATTTTTCTTCATATAATCCATCTTCTCAGATTATTTGCTCAGCATACAGAATGAATAAGTGTGGTTAAAGAATACAACCCTAGTGCATAACTTTCCTAATTTAAAAACATTCGACATTCCCTTATTCTGTTCAAACTGCTTCTTGGTCTATGTATGGGTTCCTCATGAACACAATTAAGTGTTCAAAAATACTCATTCTTTGCAATGCTGTCCATAGTTTGTGATGATCCACACATCAAAAGCCTCTGCATAGTCAATAAAGCTCAGATAAACATCTTTCTGGTATTCTTTGCTTTCAGCCAAAATCCATCTGGCGTTGGCAATGATATCCCTCGTCCCACGTCCTCTTCTGAATCTGGTTTGAACCTCTGGAAATTCTCTGTTAATGTGTAGTTGTAGTTGTAGTCATTTTTAAATTAACTTTAGAAAAGTTTTGCTTGCGTGGGGTATTAATGATATTATCCAATGATCTCTGCATTCCGGTGGGTCACCTCTCTTTGTAATGGGCACAAATATGGGTCCCTTCTAGTCAGTTGGCCAGATAGCTGTCTTCCAAATTTCTTGGCATAGATAGATAAGTGAGTGCCTCCAGTGCTGCATCAGTTTGTTGAAATTTTTCAATTTTTATTCCTTCAATTCCCAGAGCCTTGTTTGTCAATGCCTTCAATGTACCGTGGACTTCTTCCTTCAGTATCATTGCCAAAGCTTTGAGAATCACAGCAACATGTAAGCCACCACAGTTCAACAAACTGACAGATAAGTGGTGGTGGATGTACATATATACATACATATACGAAGCCCTGGCAGTGCTGTGGGTTAAGTGTTGGACTGCTAACTGTTAGGATGATGGTTCAAACCCACCAACTGCTGCTTATTAGAAGAAAAATGAGACTTTCTGCTCCCATAAATGATTTCCTATATAGGGCAACTATGAGTTGAAATTGACTCTATGGCCGTGAGTCTAGTTTGCATAGTTTTTTAAAGACATATGAGGTAACTTCAAAAGTTCATGGTAAAATGGAATTGAAAGGTAATGGAATTTCTCCACAAACATTTTGAAGCCCTCTTGTATAAGTACATAACCACTAAGGCTAGCTCATTGATTAGAATTTTTTTTTTTTTTAATGTGAGGATATCTATCAAAAGCCTGAACACTTTTATGGGTGATAAATCTGCTTCCAGAAATCTTAAGGAAATAATTCTAAATATTAAAAAGATACAGCACAAAATTATATAGCTACGTATTAATACTACTGTAAAAGCTATACTGATCAAATGAGACGCCCTGATGCACAGTGGTGAAAACACTTGGTGGCTAACCAAAAACCCCGAAGGTCAGATCCACCAGTTGCTCTGTGGAGACTGATGTGGCAGTGTGCTTCTGTAAAGATTACAACCTGGGAAACCGTAAGGGGCAGTTCTACTCTGTACAGTCAGGACGTTATGAAGCGGAATTTGACTCAACAGCAATGGCAGTGCCATTTAACACAGGGAACAATTGGGGAAAAAACTGCAACATTCAATACATGAAAAAGAATTAAACAATTTCAGCACAACATTTAGTGGATTAATAGTCACTCACTTAAAATGTGTCTATAGACTTCCTAACAATAAGGATAAACAATGTAAGGGTAAATGCCAAAAACAACTAAGAGAAAATAGAAAGAAGGATATAAAATTTCAAATGTTTACCATCTATACTTTGTTTTGTGTTTTTAATCTCTCACTGAAAATAAATGGTACAATCATGAAAAACATAAAGAAAAATCTACCAAATTTTAAGGTTTGTTGTCCTGGGCTGCTAAGATTAAGGGTTATTTCTTTTATTTTTATGTATTTCAATTTACATATTTCAAAATTTCTGTAATGGTGTTATATGATTTTTATAGTTCTAATAAATTAAGTAAAATTAAGAAATAATGTCATTCTCAGAGGAGGAGGAAAACCAGAAATACATATTTTAGCTAATGTCCAATAACCTTCGCAATATACATAAAAGCAAACGTTGTAACACAAAGAAAGAAAAGTTTTTCAAAAATCTTTTTAGCACTTTTACACTCCAGGCAATGCTGTTTGCAACAAGCTTAACGTAAAGTAATTCAACCAATAGAGGTCACTGTTACACTTCTTACTTTGAGCACATCTCGAAAGTTGCACAGTATTTTGCAGATCTCCTAGTTTTGCCAGTTGCTAATAAGTCAATTCTGACTTGTGGTAACCCTGTGTGTGCAGAGTAGAACTATGTTCCTTAGGGTTTTCAATGGCTGAGTTTTCAGAAGTAGATTTGTAGGTGATAGGGTTAACAAAGAAAACTTTACACAATTCCATGTTATCTCTTGAAGGATTTATTATTGTTGTTGTGAGGTGCCATCAAGTTGGGTCTGACTCATGGCAATGCTGTATAGGGTTTGTGAGGATGTAACTACCCTACAGGAGGAGAAAGCCTCATCTTCCTCCAGAGGAGCACCAGGTGGTGGGCTTATAGATCTATTGTTTTCAGATCCAGTCTCAATCTCCTTTTACAACAACTAGGGTGTAGAATCTCTTCTATGATGATATACAATGACTATGGTTTTATAGTTTTGGAAAGCACACATCCTCCTGCTTTTGGTTACTGGAGAAAATCTCTACCCGTATGAACATCACAGGCCTTACTCAAGCTCATCAAACATGTAATTTGAGATCTTAAAGTTATTAATTAGAAAAAATTAAAAGAAATAAGGGACTCAAGATTGTTAATAGGTATGAAAATGAACAAGGGCTGTGCTTCTTGAAGTCCTAGGGCTCAGTATGCTCTGACAGGAAAACTGGGAGACTCCAGTGAAATGATGAGAATCATGATCCATCATGTCATCAGGCCATCTTCGATGTAAAGTACCTAAAACTCAGACTAATGTTTTGTGTCCGGGAATACTTAGCTGAACAAAAGAAGGGAAATGTTGTGTTTTTTAAAAGCACTGTTCTGTATTGGATAGATTTTCTGCTGACTTGTTCACCTGTCACTTGAGCAGCCAGGAAAAAGTTAAAGGAAGGAAAGCTATTTGATTTCACTTGAGAATCAAGAGCATCTGAGTCCGCCAACATATCTTTGCAAAATTTCAGTAAAATGGTATTAAGAGATGACAAGCAACAAGTAGGCACTTCCTTAACAAGGTTTAGGCAGGGAAGCTGATATGAATACAGTACTCTGGAAACACTCAGATAAATTGTAAATGACCACTGCTCTTTTCATACACAGATTCCATAGCATCAAGATATATCAGTTTTCTGCAAATGGTTGCTTTTTAAACAACGGTGCACACACACAGAGATTTACATTAAATGCATATTAAATAAGCCTCTGCTAACCATTAATGAGCCTAGCACACGCACAAAGATTTTTGCTTACATGAAGATCCAAGTACAATTCACTTCTGTTTGCCTGCTCTTTCTCTTCATGGAGTAGAAATGGGCAAGCTGGTCCTGATCTATAGCCCAGGACCCATGAACTTCCATCTCTACTGGGAAGATCTTTAGTTGCTGTCTGCTCGATGGAGCATTCCCGGGGAAAGCCTTCCGAAGAGATGCCTAAACAAACACACAGAGGACCATTAGTGACAATGCAGCTAGAAAAACATCAAGTCAATTTGGGGAACTCCTACATGGTCTCTTGATATTCACTTATCCTTTCTAAATGATTCAGCCCAGGCAGTCATGGGCTAGAGGCCATGCCCTTAAAGCCTATGGCCTCTGCTTGGCATTCCTTGAGATGACGGTAAATACTATACAACAAAAGAACATCATGGTCAGTTCAGTGTGAGACAACCTGCAAGCTGTAGGCCTTTGAAGAACCATGACTTATGTTAGGATACTGAAGACCTTCAGACTTCTTTTATATGGAAATCAAACACTGTATAGAACCTGTTTTTCTAAGGACAACTATTAACATGTTGCAGGTCACTAATGTGCTACTGGAACATAGTTTGGAAATCACTATACTGGATCACCTCTAAAGTCCCATAAGCATAACTCTCAAATCCTCAGTAGTCTTTTAATTCCTGGTAAGCAACCTTGGCAAAATATTAAGCAATCCGAAAGAAGTTAAGGGTTTAGGCTCAGTACACTTTTGCTACAGAGATCATTGTTGGCTATAAGACAGGGTGTTTATTACACACAATCCCTGTAATAGCATCTCTTTGGCAGTGACCCAGAACCAACCAACCACTTCTGCTGTGCTGAATATCTGACTTACAAGTAACCTGAGCTGAAAAATACGTCGGCTAACAAAGGGACAGTGGTATAACATGCTTCTCCTTTACATTTGAGTAGCATTTTAGAAGAAAGAAAATTTGAAACAGCTTTTGCTTGTTCCGTTGCTTGGTTTCCAATCACACGTCAGAATGAAAGGTGGCACAGGTCATAGCGTTTCTACAGTTGTCTTCTGGCAGGATGGCCACCTTTCTGTGGCCACTAAGAAAATGAGGATCCATGGCCTCAATGGTCTACTCTTGCCTCTACAGATGAGTGTGCCCAGAAGGCCACAGCCAGTCTCTTCCTTCACCCTGACCAAGTACACGAGAAGACCTGACATTTTCAGTCACCTGGCCTCTCTGCTTCCTGACCTGTCCCTTGGGGTTTTGTTTAGAGCCTTATATTCTTTTGAGTGTCCATCTCTGCTCAGAAGATATATAAGAGATAACTGAAATAATCTAGGGTAGGAGGAACTTTATTAGATACCTCCACTTTACCCTCGTGATGACCCTGAGAAGGTAATGCTAGCACACTATAATAGATAAAGCAACTAAAGCTCAGACCTCTTTTAACCTCTATCTATATGGCTTAACCCCCTCCTAGAATATTTCTGTTCATATTTGGTAGAAAAGAAGGAATAAACCTATTAAACATGTGGTATACTCCTACTGTGCTACCTTATCTGCAGAAATTTTTATCCATTTCTAGCCATCTCCTTCAATTTATATCCCTTTACTTTTCATTTTAATTTTGAAGCTGCTATTGGCTTTGGACAGAGTTTACAGAGATTAGCTAAACCATATAAAACATAATATTTACATCACAAAGAACACAGTGTACAACAAAACATCAACTGTAAGACATTTCTATGATCAAAGGCACATTGTCTGGTGAGTTTAAATTCATCATTTAAGTGTAAGAGAGTAATGTTTTTGTTGTTCGATATTGTTGAGGCAGCCCAGACCCCGTGTGACCCCATGGGCTCCAGAGTGGAACGGGTCCATTGCATTTTATTGGCTGTTGTGTTTACAGAAGCAGATCACTAGGTCTAATTCTGCAGAGCCATTGAGTACAGATCAACTGCCAAGCATTCAGTGAGCAGCCAATCGCAAATTGCTTTTGCCACCCAGGCTCCTAAGAGAGCAATCAATCCCAACAATAATAAGGATTGAGGGTACTTATATAAAGAACACAACACACAAATACACTCACCCACCCTGCAGTGCCTATTCAACACCACACCAATGAGTTGAGGTGTACAAATGTACACTTCAATTCATTCTTGTTGTGAAAGAAAGACAACGTAAACTTTAAGTAGAAACAATGAAAAATAACTTCATTTTTTAAAAATGGTGGCACTGTAGGGTAAGCACTGGGCTGCTAACTACAAGACTGGCAGTTCAAACCCACCAGCCGCTCCTTGGAAACCCTATATAGGATAGCTATCAGTCGGAACCAACTGGACTGCACTTAACAATAACAACAAAAATGTTTAACCAGACAATATCCCTATGAAGGAAACATGTAAGTTAAGGTCATGACATATAATAATTTTGGCAAGCATCATTACGACAGGATATGACAAAGGATAGAAAAAAGGTAACGTATGTATGAGCTGTTATTCTCAAAAGTCTGGTAAAGTAGGTTAGAACATAGGACATATTCATCATTTGAAACACCAGAACAGATATATATAAAATAAATTTATTAATAGTTATTGGAGTGTTAGACGTTCATTTGGACATTTTTTGAAAAGCTTAAAATATTCTTATCTATCCCTTTCATGTGATTATTACAATCAAAATTTGTTTTTATTCCAATTTATTGGCTATGTGGTTTCCCAAAGACAATTCAACAGCTTGATGACACATAGACAGACAGGTTAATTCTACAATGACCACTGTTAATGGAACATACAGTGCAGTCACAGCAAATGTAGTGTGACTTACCTGGGGGGGGGGGCGCACCTTGAATTTCTGTGCTTTTCTCAACCACTCAAATGAAGAGCTGCCACTTCATGATGCTAACCTACAACATCGGACTGGAGTTTGGCTGTTAATTATCAAAACAACAGAAGCAGACAGAAAGGAAAGGTAATAGGACATTTAAAACTGCAGGCAGTATCCACAAGCTCATCTTTTCAAAATGCAATCATTATCTCTCCCCGTGGGGTGTTGGATTATTGTTTTTTTGACTCCTTCCTGCTTCTCACTTTTTTACTTCTTCCATGCATCATGATTATGCTGACGAGAGTTTTTCCATTTACCTCTGTAGTTCTTTCCACTCGATTTGTTGTTGTCCTTGTTAAGTGTTGATGAGTCGGTTTTGACTCATAGTGACCCTGTATAGGGTCTCTGAGGAGTGGCTGGTGAGCTTGAACTGCCAACCTTGAAGTTCAAACTAAACTTGCAGTTCAGCACATTAACCTGCAGCGCCACACCAGGACTCCTCCCACTGGATTTGTTGTTGTTAGGTGCCATCGAATCGGAGTTGTTGTTGTTGTTAAGTGCCGTCGAGTCGGTTCCGACCCATAGCGACCCTGTACAGGGTTTCCGAGGGTGTAAATCTTTACGGGAGTAGAAAGGCTTATCTTTCTCCCGCGGAGCGGCTGGTAGTTTCGAACCGCTGACCTTAAGGTTCGCAGCCCGATTCGTAACCACTACGCTACCAGAGCTCCTTATCGAATCGGAGTAGAGAGTTGTATATTTCCCCTACCCATGGAGTCCCAGTGTGGCACCTTAGTATAAAGGCTTGATCTCAAGGTTGGTTTGAACCACAAGGTTGGCAGATCAAACTCAGCAGCTTCTTCTTGGAAACTCTATACAGATTTGCCATGAGTCTGAACTGACTCGACAGCACTTAACAACAATAACAACAACAACATGGATATTGGGTCTGGTCACTGACTTGCTATAGCCAACTGATTGTCAACAATGTGGCAATGGGCCAGTTCTGAGCCAAGGGCTTATAAGGTATTGTGTGTTTTCATTCCCTGCCTTGTGCTTCTGCTAGCACTATAAGAAGAGCACGTCCTTGTTGTTGTTGTTGTTAAGTACTATGGAGTCAGTTCTGACTCATAGTGCCCCTACACAGGTTTTCCGAGCCTGCAATTATTTACCAGAGCAGAAAGCCTTATCTTTCTCCCGCGGAAACGGCTGGTAGCTTCGAACTGCCGACCTTGAGGTTAGCAGTCTGATTCGTAACCACTATGCTACCACGTCCTAGGTAGCCTAAAATGCGACAGAGCAGACCCAAACACAGTCTGCAGTCTGGAGCCAAGTTCAGCCGAGCCAACAAGATTAAGTGAATCTTAGCCAACCCACAGACCAGTGAAAATGAAAAGAAAAAATTCATGTTATAAGCTATTGAGAGTAGGGGTTTATTTGTTACAGTAACTGCCTAATACATTTCCTTTTATCTGGCTTCACTGAAAGCACCATAACTTTAAGCCATTTCAGCCAAAAAGCCTTGAAAAATATAATTTTGCTGTTTTGTAATTTTTACTAATTATTAAATTTATACAGTTTTGAAAAATCAGATAAGAATTTATGGTACACCCATTTCATCATTCATGCCAATATACATACACAAACATTTCATTAAAAAAAAATTAACCTTATTACCAGGTGTTACCTTTAATCCTCTAAGAAATAAATATATATGTATATTTAAAACAAATTCACACATACATTTTGAAAAAAATCATTTTCTAAAGAGAAGTTCATAAGCATACTATATTATCAGATATGGATGAAAGTCTCTAAAAAAACAAAATTAAACAGCGCCTTTCTGGCTTTCTCCTCTAATTTCTCATCTCAAATAGCAAGCCATTTCTTGACAGAAATGATGAAGTAGTTATATCTTTAAAAGGAGACGAGGGGAAAAAATAAAAACCTCAGCCCGAAACCTATATGAGTTTTAACTTCTATACTGTAGTTTTCAAGGTCATCCATCAAGCTTGACTTAAAATAAATCTAATGAGGTGAATTTTTCTCAACTGTGAATATCAGAACTGATATGTAAAGGTAGACAGGTTATCTTTGGTTATGTTACTCACACATGTACTTACAAGCTAGAGAGACAGCAATCCCTACGTGTAGCTAGCTAATGGAGAGTGATACTATTAAATACTTGTAGTAAGGGTGTGTGCCTGTGTGTATAATTATTCATGTCTATAAAACACCACCATAAAAGCTGACAGGGAGTCCTAGTGTGGTGCTATAGGATAAGCACTTGACTGCTAACCACAAGGTAAGCGGTTCAAACTAGCTGGTCCTCAGAAACCCTACAGAAGGTCACTATGAGTCAGAACCAACTTGAAGGCACTTAAACAACAG